CTGCACACACCAGCCGCTCAAGGACTGCCGGTGGACGAGGAGCTGCGGGAATCACGCGGGGGTGGGAAGCAGAAGCAGGCAGAGAAGGTGCGAGTGTCCGAGACTCCGCCCCACCTCCACCCCCACGAGCCCGGCCTCAGATTCCCTAGCCACACGCTGGGAGGAAGCACGGCACCCTGCCCATCCTGGAGGGGACCCTTGGGGTGCTGGGCTGGCCAGGGGAGAGGGACCTGCTGCTGTGGAGACACTCTGGTCCGGGGAAGGCATGGGGGCCCAGCAGCGGCTTGGTGCGGGCTGTGGGAGGCTCTCTCCCTCCTGCAGCCTGCTCTGGTGTGAAACTCTAGACGGAAGCTGGAGCCAGACAGGCGGGCAGACAAGCGCATTCTCTTCAGGGCGGCCTCCTCCTCTCTGGGAACAGGATGGGGAAGGGCAGGGCCTGCCCAGGCTGACCCCAGACTGGGTTTCAGGCTGTGGGGCCCAGCAGGGCTCCCTGGGGCCGCGGTGGGGGTGGGAAGGAAAGCCCCCAAGCTGGACTCTGAGGCCGGTGCTGGATGGAGTCTAGTGGGAGGGGCTGAGTCAAGAAGTCCCAAGGCCCCTGGGCTTCCAGCGCCAGCAGTGGCTGTGGGCACTCCTGCCTTGTTTCTGGCAAATCCCTGCTGGCCAGTCACGGCCACCTGCCCAGGAACCACGATGTCGGAGGACTGGAGCTGTGAAAAAGACTTCTTTCAGGTTTCAAAACCCCTCGAAGTTCCTCCTACGGATCTGCGTTGCCCTAAGTGAAGTGGAAGGTGGTGGGATGCACACATGGGCTTACTCTGGACAATGCTGGTCAACTTTTCCTTTTTGGAACTGTGCTCCTCTCACAGGAACAGCGCTGGACATGGGCTTCGCTGCGCAGGGAGAGGGGAGGCAAGAGGCAGCTTCCTATGGGCCCCCCTTCTGTTCACTGGGTGGGGGCAGGGCATCACCTCAGGTGCCATTCTGGCTGCCCCGTCACCTCTGGGGAAGGTGACGAATCCGGGACACGCTGGCTTGGAGAACTGCAAATCTCGTTGTAGCCCTGTGTTCCAGCTCCTCCCAGAGACCCCAGAGAAGTGTGGTGAGGATCACAAACAGAATTAGGCACAGTGGGTGCTTGGTACCAGCTGTCAGGGTCTGCCTTCTCATGCACCCTGTGGCCAGGCGGTGGCTCTGCCCGCTTCCCTCTCTCCCCTCCCTGGGGGTGATATCAGAGGGGGCCTCCTGGCTGCCTAGCTTTTAGGAGCAGTGTCCTAGAGAGGTGACAGCTGGACTTCATGGCCCTGTTGAGGCTCTAAGGGAAGTCTGGTCCACACCCCTAGTGAGCTGGCAGACACAGAAGAGCATCAGGAAATCTGGAAGATAACCTGAGCATTTGGAGACAAGCTCTCGAACCCCTGGTTAGATGTGGCGTGAACTGTAAAGGTGTGAACAGTATGGGTGTCTTAGAGGGGTTGCGCTGATCAGAGCCACAGTGATGGCTCTGAATGTCACTGAACGGGGCCCAGTGTCAGGCACTGTCGTGTATGCTTCATGGGTATGAACACACCTAACTCTTCACAATGCCCCTGGCGTAGGACGTGGGATTCCATTACGCGTGTTTTACAGATGGGGATGTGGAAGGCTACGGGAAGGTCGGGCTCCGGACAGGCCTGGCGTCTGCCAAGCCCGGGAACTGAACAAAGAAATTCACATCAGGGAATTTTTCCAGACAGCCTCAAGAGGAAGTGGGGATGTTAAGAAGGAAAAGCAGCACCAGGAAACAGCCTGCTTGAAGGGGGGAGCGGAGCTCTCCTCAAGGTCAAGTTTCAAATAAGTCAGAAACTGTCAGCCTCTTACCATTTTCTGACTGGGGTGAACACTCCTAAGTTCTGTTTGCACCCGTCTTTGGGATCTTTCTAAAGATACGATGGGCCTCTCCCATTTAATCTGCTGAGTCTGGGAGCCGTGATACCCATTTTACTCAAGACTCTTGATTTCAAGGGTTGTAAACCCAACTTGAACTAGCTTAAGCGAAAGGAAGTGCATTGCTCGACATCTGTGCAAAGGCATGGGTGCCATCAGGCTCCCGAGACAACAGCAGCCTGGCCTTCCTGCCTAGGAATCTCGCTGTCCTGCTCCTGCTTCGCTACCATAGTCCGTTTCCCCCATGCAGGAAACGGCCTCCAATAGACCTGGGCAGGACATTCCTCAGTCCCACCAGCAGGGGGAGAACCCAAGGAGTGGCTCTGACTCGCCTAGCTTGGGCCAGGTGAGCACGTGGCTGGGCTCAGCCTGTCCGGTGCTGACCCCTGGGACGCAAGCGGTGCTGGGAGCCTTGGAGAGAAGCGGAAAGCCAGGCAGGTACCTCCCCCCACCCTTGCGGTCTACCACAGCGGAGTATGGATTCCCTGGTGCAAATGCCGACAGTGTGACTTCTGAAGGTCTTACGGCTGCCACGTACCACATCAAGAAGGCACTATTGTCCAGTTCAATTGAGCAGACGTTTATTGAGCACCTATTAAGTGCAAGGCACTGTGCTAGGTGCCATGGGAAATACAAAGAGTGAACACAGACGGTCCCTGCCCGCGAGGAGCTCACAGTCTAGAAACGGAGGTGAGACACAGTACACAATCAGCTGCGGTGACACCAGCCAGCGCGGCAAGTGCCAAAAGCCAGACACAAGTGCTGTGGGTCACAGAGCGCCATGGCGTTGCTTCTGGTCAGAAGCTTGGGCAAGGGGACAAAGAGGATGCAGGCTGGGCCTTTGCAGGGGAAGCCATTTGGGAGAAAGGGCATCTCGAGCAAAGAGGTGCACGCGGAAGCAGGAGCCCACAGGTAACTGAGGAAATGTGTGTGGGCTGCAGCAGGCGTCCGGGGAAGGGCTGTTCCAAGTGGGGCAGTCACTCGTGGCCACGAGGTGGATGGCACAGATACTACACTCCGGAGCGCTGAGCTTGGTGCTCTGGTCGCGAGGCACTGAAGCACTGAACAGAGATGAGGGCGTGACCAGTGGTGTGGTTCTGCTGGATAAATCTGCGAGCACTGCGGAGTCTGGGAGGGAGAGGTGAGCTGACTGGTCAGGGACCGTCGCCCATCGGGAGACCATGAGAGCATGACTGGTGGGCACTGTCAGGCCATGGACATGGGTGGATGGAGGGGACTTTGTGGCAGGGTGGAGCGGGGGTGGAGAGCAAGGGGCCGATGTAGGCAGGGGGTCTGGGGCCAGAGTATGAGGACGGCATAGGGCTTCCAGGTGAGCTGGAAACATGCTCCTGCAGGGGAGGCCTAGAGGTGGGACTAGAAGTCGATGCCCTGGGTGGGGGGGACACGTTGAGCTAGAGAAGTTAGGGAGGAGGAAGGCTGAAGTTAGTGAGCCCTAAGGGTGAGTGCACTTTCTTGCCATGTGGTCCCCAGATAGCCTGCGTGGGACACACCCAGGGAGCTGATGAAATCTTCAATTTCCACGCTTTACTCTAGGGCCACCGAATAAACAGCTCTGGGGGCTGGCTTTGCCCGGTAATCACCATTTTTAGTAAGAGCTGCCCTCCCCACCCCACCATGAATTCCATGGCTGGTCCAAAATTTGAGAACCACCTGTCAAGAAAGAAAAGGGTCTCAACGACTGGCCTTTAAGTAAAAGAAGAGAAAGGAATGAAGAACATTTGGGAGGGAAATTTCAGAAAATGGGGAAAATAAGGGCAATAGTATCAAATATTCTGGTCACTGATATGGACACAAAGACTGAAGATTAAGAAAAGGCCTCTGAACTTGGCAATTACATGGTCCCTGTGACTTTTCTAGACTATTTCCATGTGGTGGGATGAAGGCCAAGTTTGCCAAACAGGAAGTGAAGAGCGGAAAGGTGAGGGAGAGCAGCAGTGCGTGGAGAGGATTCTGAGATCAGGTGCTGTTCTTACAGGATCTGAACTGTAATAACGGGGAATAATGGGGAGGTAGATCATGAAGAAACAAATGGCATGAGGCAGAGTGGCTGACGGAACAGACCACAGTTAGGAGAGGAGAGGGACACAGGAAGGAGGACAGGGGAGGACATGGCAGTGCTGGTGGAGCTGCAAGTAGGAAGGCCACATCTCGGAGGTGCCTGGAGGGGGCAGGCTGGAGCTGAGGGAGAAGGGTGCCCAGGCCCAAACTCAGGAGGCCCAGTGCCCGGGGCATTTCCTGTGATGGAGAAGGGTACTTGGGAGCATGGCTTTCTCCGTGAATCCTATTCCACAAGTGCCACAACAAACCTAAGGAAGCAAGACCGGCCCTAGCCCTCCTCTCAGAGACCAAACGCTGCAACAGGCCTGAGTCGCTGGTGACTCTGCCAAGCCACAGCTGAGCCTGCCAGACAAAGCTGACCCGCCATCCAGGACGGCTGAGATGCCTTCCCACTGTCTTCTAGCCCTCAGCCTACAAGGTCTCAAACACAGGCTCCCCTACAGAAGCGTCAAACAAGGTTTTTTTTCTCCCAGAGAAGGCAGCGGGGGCCTGGGGCAGAAGGTATGTCCAGGAATCATCCCGTATCACCATTTACTTAATTCTCGAACCCTGGACAACCACTCTCAGAGGAGCAGACGCCTGTCTCCTGAATGAGGTGGCATCCCCTGCCCTGCCACCTCCTTCTAGAAAGGCCAGGAAGTGCAGGATGTGGACCCTCGGCACACGCGAGGGAGCACGGCTGCCGACACCAGCGCGGCGGTTCAGAAACCAGCCACTGGGGGAGACCGTCAAGCAGCGTTTGAGGAGCGCCAACACGCAACCTAGGATAGGAGCAGGCTGAGAACAAGTACTTTTTTTTTTTAATGCTTTGAAAACTGGGTTTTTAGGGGCGCCTGGGTGGCTCAGTGGGTTAAAGCCTCTGCCTTCAGCTCAGGTCACGATCCCAGGGTTCTGGGATCGAGCCCCACATAGGGCTCTCTGCTCAGCGGGGAGCCTGCTTCTTCCTCTCTCTCTCTCTGCCTGCCTCTTCGCCTACTTGTGATCTCTGTCAAGTAAATGAATAAAATCTTTGAAAAAAAAAATTGGGTTTTTAAATTTTCAAGTTTCAGAAAGAACTGTGACTTTTGTGTTATGTTGTAATTTATCAAGGCAAGTAACTGACCCACTTAATTTCCTGCATCCTTCCTTCCTATACCCTAGAAAGAGGAAAGGGGCAGGTAGAGCCCTCAGAAACAATACTAAAAATAGAGAGGCTTAGATAACCCAAAGGTCAAGGGTCAAGTCACTTCTGGAGCCTAGGAAACTCTGCAACCCCCAGTCTAGCCAGCCCCACCTGGTGTCACTTGAGGCCTAGTCCCCTTCCAGGAAGACCTGTGTGGCTAAGCCTGGGCCAGTAAGGTTTACTGCTGAGTCCTTCTCTGCAAACAGGAGAAATACTGGATTGGGAAGGTTGTCAGACCAAACCTCAGGCCAGATCAGAGTCTGTGCGAGACGGCCCTAGCCCTCACACGTCTGCCACACTTTTATAAACCACCAGTTCTGAAGCTGAGGCACGGGGCTGTGACTGCATCACTTCCTGCCCGCCCCAAGTCTCCTACCTCCAAACCCACAGCTGGTGGGTGACTCTGGCCACCTGCCCCAAAGCAGCAGCTGACAACCAGTTCCCCATTAGGAGGCATCTTAAAGGCATCTAGAGAGAAAACATGATTGAAAAATACAAGTCCAGCCACCTGGAGGACTCTGGATTCATCCCCTGAGGGAAGCAAGGGTCGTACACACCGGGAGGGAGGCTCCTGGGGAGGCACCAGCTCTGCTCGTGGCCAACAAAGTCCCTTCACCATGAAGAACAGACTGGCCCCGAGTCCACAGCAGCTGTTTCTGGGGGCTGGGAGGGGCACGACCCACAGGGCAGACACAAAACTGACCGTGAGCAGCCGGGGAAGAGAAAGGTAGAAATTACAAAGCCCTTTGAAAGTCCAGAGAACAGTAAAGATGTTACGTATAATTACCCAGGAAAAGAACTTCACGGACACAGAATTTGAGCACTGAAAACACAATACTAAGATCCCAATGCTGAGACAGACTCACTGGAAGGACAGCTGACAACACTAAAAAGACAAATCCAGGAGAAATAAATAAGGGGCTGAGCCCCCACGGCAGCTACTAATGCTATTTATTGGCTTGGGTCATTCTTGAGAATAGAAAACCACTTTTTGGCAAAGCTGAACGAACTTCGCATGGAGGCTGTGGACACAAAATTATGTTTAACAATGGGGCTCTTTCATGGAATTTCCTCACATCCCATTATTATTTTCAGAGGCTAAGACATGACTGCTACTCAGTAGTGAGGCCTCAGCCTGGTGAGCGTGTCAGAGCACTGGACAAAGAGTCCGGTCCCTGCCCAGCTGCTCCACAGCTGTGGACCTGGGCTGTGTGGACACAAGCGTGCTGAGCCTCAGTTCCCTCTTCTGTTGGGGGCAGGGGAAGTAGGGTGGGACTACATGAGTTCTAGAATCTCTTCTTGCCCTGACATTCTGGGAGTCTAACTGTGCCCTGGTCATTAACAATGGCTAGGCACAGGTGCCATCTAGTGGCACCACCTGCCCCCTTTCACAAATGGCTCCAACAAAAGACTCACAGGAGCAAAACCTACTCCTCTGACTCTAATTCAGGGGTGAGGGCAGAGGAGGCTGGGGGTGGTGAGCACACTTCATGTTAGTGGACGTTACATATTCATCTTCAAGAAAATATACTTTAAGAGGTCTTGCTTTCCCTAAGAAAGCAACTCTTTTTTTTTTTTTTTTATTTAGAAAGGCTAATCATATCCATTTGTCAATATTTTCAGCTTTAAGGAAAATAGTTTAAAAAACATAAAAATGTAAATACACTCAAGAGTAACTGCTATTAAACAGTTCTGAACAGGCAGAAAATGTACTTTCCTTTTACAGAAAATGTTAAATCTGTAATAGCAGCATAATTTATATATAGAAAAAGCTGGTTTTGAAAACCCAGATTTTATACACAAAACATCTGTTTTCTATATACTACAACAGTATTTCCACTGGGAAATCGGTCTCTTCACATTATGTCGTTTCCTGCTGCCACGTGCAGACACGAGCTAGAGTGTGACCTTCAGTCCAAAACCATGGCAGACAGTGCGTTCAGGTCTTTCATGTACGGATGGGCCGCCAGTATCTGGTCAATTTTCAGTCTTTGCTCTGAGTCAGGGAAGATCTTCAGAAGGGCTTCCCTCAGTTCGCTGGTTTCCGCAGGAGACCTCTGTGCCGGCATGGGCACACTCTGCTGCATACTGGGAAGGTTCGGCAGAACTGGAAAGCGGGGCTGCTGAGGAAGCCAGTGGCTGGGCGGGGTGCCCTGAATCCGGGCGGGAGGCTGGTGACTGGTGCTGGCTGCCTGGGCGCCGGGGACTCTGAAGCTGGGGTCAAACATGCCCACATTTGGCAAGGCATTGAGTAGGGGCTGCATATCTCTGTGAACAGAGTGAGTCTGGTGAGTTGGGTTAGGAAAGATGAGAAAGCTGTCAAAAATGACCTGCCGCTGACCTTGAGGTTGTGCTGCTCCATGACCTTTGAAGGCAAGCTGCCCACAGATGGGTCCACGGGGAGGACGCCTGTACCATCCCCGACTGGTCATGACGGTGAGTGACAGCTCTCCACGAGCTACCCCACCATCCCAGATCTACAGCTACGAGAACGGACCCCAGCCAACTGTTGGCTCTAAGCCTGAGTTTCTTCTGGGGACTCTAATTCTGTGTGGGGGCCTTGGATGAAAGGGCTTAGAAAAAGGGCCTCCTTTGGGGAGAGGCAGCCACTTCCAATTCCTGGAGTCTCCACCCGTCCCCATCACCAGTCTGGGCGAGGTGTTGGTGCCCACACCTACATGTTCTCTGGGTATGTGTGTGTGTGAAAAGGGCATTTGTCTCATTAAGCAGCTTCCCAGGTGACTCGGACTTGCAGCCAAGAAATGAGGCTGGCTGAACACTTGTCCCAACTTCAAAAGCTAGACCCTCGGTGAGGGGTTATTATTTTTAACTTCTTACTCATTAGTTAACACACTATAAAGAACGATTAAGCGTGCAGGCAGGACAGACCCTGCTGCCAAGCTGCTGAGGTGTGGAAGGAGTCAGAGAACTGTCTTTCCATGAAGTCTGATCCACGGGCCCCGATGCCTGCACACAGGCACCAGGTCTTAAAGGCCCAGCAGCGATGCAACAACACTCAGCGGATGTTAAAATGGCTGCTATTCCCTTGGTGTAAGGAGAGAAGCAGAACCTTGGGAAGTAAGCCCTCATCTGTGTAATAAAACCCAAAGGCTCAAAGGAGACATGATTTCTCAGACCAGGGAGCTGAAATTACATTGGTCTCCTCTGTAGAAGTACCTCTCTGTGAACTACCCCCAAATCCAAACCTAGAACTCCAAAGGGATCTGATTATAAATAAAAAAGATCAGCTGTCACTGGGTCATACTATCTGCCAGCTGGGCACACAGAATACTTTAGTTAACAATATCCATTACCTGAGAATTCTAAAAACAGAAACAACCACTAGCAACATATCTTTAAAAAAACAAAACAAAGACCCAAACTACAATAAAGAAAACCCACACTATCAAATCAATTTCAGAAAAATATGAAATACCGGCTTCTCCTTTCAGTTGAGATAAAGAGTTCCCCAGGTAGTGATTCCTGAATAGTAAGTAAATTAACAGCAGCATAACAACTTAAAAAAGCAAATGATTTTGGAAAATGAATATAAAAGAATATTCACATGTCAAAACGAACCTAAGTGGCATTTGCTAATAAGTGACTGCCAGCAAAATCTGTGGTCTTTTTAGACCTGTCCTAGGATTAAATTAAATTAAATCCTGTCCTAGGATTAAAACCAAAAGGATCACAAATGAAGAACTGGTCTTTAAGGTGAGTGTCTGATTAGCTTTTCAAATATACTACACCCGCGCCAAGTATAAGGCTAATAAAAAATTTAAAAGTGCCATCTTTAGTCCTTCAGAGACATCACTTACACTAAAGCACAAAGAAGTGAAACAAGTCTGTAAATACAAAACAGTGTGAAAAAAGCAAATACCTAAGGAAGACTTCCTTCCGAAGAAAGTCTTCTAATCGAGGTCCACTTCTTCCCAGAGGGTCATCAGGAACCATAAATATATCCCCAACGAAGGTATATTGAAGCAATCTACAACAGAGTATGATTACAATGCTGGAGAAAACATGAAGCTTTTACTGCTGCAGGAACTGAGAAGAAAGTAGCAGTGGCCACCTAATTCCAAGGCAACAGTCACCTATAAAATTGTAAGGCTGCTTAATTGCCTAACGGAAAAAAACAACCAAGTTAAACCATCTGAATTTCTCTTTTGGATACAAATTCAATAAAGTAAGAAACTTTAATCAGTTGGCCCTCACATTTCTTAATGAGACTTGCAGACTTTTTTTATCTGGGCTTTTGGAAGCAGCTTCTTCTCCTAATACAACTTTGAAAACAAGATTTAAAGACTGTCAGCTTAGGACACAGCAGGTGCACAACAAAGGTTTTACTTTTGTTTTGAATAGTTGTGTCTACAGGCAAACCCACTGAAGATAACCTCTAAAACAACAAAACAATATGATCTACAAGGAAAGAAAATCTGAGATCAGTTCAATATGATTTAGTAAGTCTGGGCAAGATATAAGAAAGAAAAGAAGGCCAAGTGCTTGTGTTGGTTGTCTAGACCTCAGTTTCTGCCTTGTTTCGTGAGTTCTGAAGGCAATGGGTTGGTGTACAAACATGAGTCCTGATTGCATTTAGACCTTTCAGACACAGAGGAGTGGCCAGTAAATACTGACAATGAGTCCAGGGCAAAGATCCAACAGAAACATGTCCTCGAAGATTGATGGCTTGTTAAGTGTGCCCAGAAGGTCAAAGACCATTCTCAGTTCAGCTCTCATGAACAGCTTATTACCAGCATGTGAGTCAAAATGCAGAGAGTATTTATCTCACACCTGGGCATTTTACAGTAAAGAATTATTTTCCAAAATCCTCTCATGATTTAGCAAAATACAAATATCAGATAAGGGGCAACTATGAAACCCCAACAGAGGTAAATACCCAGTTGTAGCGGTTACACACTACTACCAACACACAGCTTGAGGTATGCTGATTTACGTTTTTAGATTTGTGGCATTTGGGCCTCCTCCATGGCACCATCACAGATTGGTGCTGTTAGGTAACTCGATCAGATGATGCCTGTTAACGAGAAGTCCTGGAACCCAGTGTTCGCTGATCTTCAGGCAGGCGGACACATTCAGAGTACCATCACAAATAAAACACGTCTGTGAATGCTCTACTCTTGACTTTATTCTGGATGATAATCAAACATAGTTTCAATGTACGTGATTTAACTATTGTGGTAAAGGGTCAAGAAAAGCATCACAGATTAAAAAGCACAAATATGGGATGCCTGGGTGGCTCAGTTGGTTAAGCAGCTGCCTTCGGCTCAGGTCATGATCCCAGCGTCCTGGGATCGAGTCCCATATCGGGCTCCTTGCTCATCAGGGAGCCTGCTTCTCCCTCTGCCTCTGTCTGCCATTCTGTCTGCCTGTGCTTGCTCTCTCTCCCTTTCTCTCTCTGACAAATAAATAAATAAAATCTTTAAAAAAAAAAAAAAAAGCACAAATATTCTTCCCACTCCCAAGAAGTAAAAACTCAACCAGTAGGTTGATTTTGGTCCCAACCTCTTGCTGGAATCACAGCTGTCATTAAATCCAACCTTCGTATTTCATGGTTGGTCAAGTACGGATGCCCAGTGAGCTGCCAAAGTCTCTCCTGGCATCCAGTGCAAGGCCAAGGTAGGGGCCACTTCTGCTCCACTACACTGTTAACAAGAATTAACCACACCATAAACATGGGCCTCGTGCCTCCTGTCAGGGAACACGGATCTCTCAAAGACACCCTGCAGCCACCACAGCGTGCCTATACATCCCCTGCTGGTTTTGTGGCTTTGTACTGGGACCCCCACTTACCTAGAGGGACCAGCCTTAGTACGGGATGGGGATGATTCTTGTTTCCCTATAGTGCTCTCTGCAGGGCCAAGGTGGACACGAAACGAAACCGAACAATGAACAACAAAAAACACTTTACCAAAGACAAAGAAGAAAATATTACCTTTTTGTAATAATTTCTCTCCAAGAGAGTGACTCAGTCACAAATTCTCTGAAGTTATCATTTGTTACAATTATGCCACCAGTTTTGTCCGCTAAGTGTAGTAGAAACCTATAGTAATATAAGAGGTTAAAATGGGCAAAGCAGGCATTCCTGGCTTATAGAAGCTATGTTACAAGAAAACAGAAGGATTTCCTCTTCATAGGAAAATCACCAAAGAATTTAACTATGGCTAGGAGGTAGAAAAGTTAAGTCCTTGTCAGCTGAAGATCAATCTGAAATACTGAATACCTCTGAAATTATTAGTGTGATTATAATGAAGGTCTGGTTTTCATACAATATTATTCTCTTTTTAAAAATGATCTCAACCATGATTTACACATTTTTCTAGAAAAGTTGTATTATCAACAGATAGCGGTCATCAGATGATCCATGAGGACTAAAGTTGAGAATAAATTCGAGCTGACAAGCCTATGAAATCACTATTCAAGTTTTGGTTGCTAAGCTACAGTACTCTGGTTCTGAGGTTAGCTACTTGGTACAATCAGCCTTGCATTAAAAAAACAAGAACAAAAACCCACAGGTTCACATCTTCTGCTCGGACTTGTGATGTATAGAACTATTATTGTGTTTAGCCCAAGTTAGAGATTCACTCAAATGCCATTTACGAGAAGCTGCACTGGTGATAAGGAAGGGTAAGAATTCAATATTGAGAATTCTATTTCATTGCGGCAGATTACTCACGCTCAAACCCTCTTAATGAGAGATTTGTGAGGATAATAATGTTGAGTTTTATCCCTCAGTCAGGGTGACCGCATCTGTCTAAGGCAATGCAGACAAAGACAACAATACATTAAGAGAATCACTAGAATCGAAGGTGCGAACAACTGCTTTTATTAGTGAGAGTGAAAACTTCAAAGGAATTAAAAAAAAAGCCTCATTAGTTTCAGAAGTCTTAGGATGCCTTGGAAAGTATGAATACACATTCTGATTTATTACTGAATATTTTATAAACTACTCCTAGCTGGCATGAATTGCAAGTGATGCGGTTCACTCATAGGTATTAACAAAAGTAGTTAAGGCTTCTGAGTGCGTGTACTATGAATCCAGACATAGATCCACGTCTGCTAAAAAAAACAGAGTCATAATAAATTAAGCAGGGGCGCCTGGGTGGCTCAGTGGGTTAAGCCGCTGCCTTCGGCTCAGGTCATGATCCCAGGTCCTGGGTTCAAGCCCCACATCGGGCTTTCTGCTCAACAGGGAGCCTGCTTCCTCCTCTCTCTCTGCCTGCCTCTCTGCCTACTTGTGATTTCTCTCTGTCAAATAAATAAATAAAATCTTTAAAAAAAAATAATAAATTAAGCACAAGCTTATTTAGTCTGCATACTTACACAGGACTTCAAATTCTGCAGGTGTGCAGCTACAGTGTTAGAGATCTGAAGGCTCTTCACATGCCCCGCAGCCCACCTGACCCTCCACCCGAGCACTGCACGGTCTGAGGCCAGTACCACGGAAGTGGAGTGGGACCTGGTCTCCCAGTACTTTCTCACCCCTGCCCCACCCGACATGCTGTTCTCCTTCCACTTCCTCTCATGCTATTCTCTCACATCAACTCTGATTCTTCCCATCTGATTTGGCCTCTCATTCCAGCCTGGAGAAGGACAAGGGGCTGTCCGTGAGAAGGCCCTCTGAACCTTTTGCTTAAGGAACATCTGCTATCATCCCTAGTCTCTCCCCCAACTCCCTACTGTGGGGCTCTCCTCTTTTCATCTCTCACCCATCTGACTGTCGTTCACTAGTCCGGGTTACAAACTAAACACTGTCTTCAATGTAGGGGGACCACTTTGGTGGAATACTGAGGCAAAACCACCAACACACTCTAAGTGCTTCGGGCCAGAATACCATAAAGGGGGTGAATGCAGGAGTGGAAAGAACAAGAGGCCACTATTTAGGTTCCCAGATACCGGTAGGGTTGCTACTACTGAGTTCACTCCAAAGAGGAGGGTCTGAAAAACTGGCTGTCACGCCACTGGTCATGTTTGGGACCTTCTCTTATTCAACCACAACAACCCACCCCACCTTATTTATTTGTGTGCCTTCTTTAGATCACAAGCTCCTTACAGCAGGACACGTGTCTGAAATCACGTGTCCCCAGAGCCTAGCTCTGTGCATTGTACTTGGTAAGACTGCTAGAAAAAATGAAAAAGACAATAGGCTTTAATTGTCTCCAATGCACTAACACCTGCTTTCTGAGTGACCCACCAACCTAAGAAATGCAGCTTACTCTTATCACACTTTGCGTCAGCTGAGACCATCTTTTATTACGTGGAAGAAATACTAAGGGCTCAGTATGGCAACGACAAACTAAGTCACTGGCCAAAATCAACCAGGAGGAGATGAATCATGTTTGAAAAGCATTCCTGAGGCTGACACCCTAAGACAAGACAAACTTTACTCAAACGTTACTTTCAGTATGCATCAAAAAAGAGAACTCAAGGGGCGCCTGGGTGGCTCAGTGTGTTAAGCCTCTGCCTTTGGTTCAGGTCATGATCTCAGCATCCTGGGATCGAGCTCCGCATCGGGCTTTCTGCTCAGTGGGGAGCCTGCTTCCTCCTCTCTTTCTGCCTGCCTCTCTGCCTACTTGTGATCTCTCTCTCTGTCCAATAAATAAATAAAATCTTAAAAAAAAAAAACAAAAAAGAGAGAGAGAACTCAATGTCTGCTTTTACTTATGGTTTCTCAGTTATGTTTTATTAAGAATACAAATAAGCTTATAAACAAACATTCTAACCAAACAGACTTAAGGTAATGTTCCTAAACCCAAATAACAAAAAAAATATATAATAACCTATTAAGTGAGTATATAACCTTAATGACCATAAACATTAAAATTCTCAAACCCCTGGATCTTTTAAGCCCTTTATGCATGGGGGTCCAAGAGCACCATGAACTGTCCAATGGAACAGGTGGTGGGCTCCTCAGCACCCCTCACCCATCTCAGGAAGGAAAACAGCCTTTCATACCTGTCATCATGAGAAGCAATTCTTTCTCCAAAGACCATCCGGGCAGGAGTTAAAGATAATATTCCAAGCTCCTGGAGCTGAGTTAAGAAGTGCTGTTCTGTTCACGGAATAAGTTGAATACACATTCAGAAAAAGGCTATCTTCCCAGATGTTCAAATAAATGAAACTACCCCCAAATGTTTCACTTGGAGAGTTAGGAAAACCTTTACTGACTCAAGAAGACTCAATGTACTAACTCACTGGATAGGGGAAAAAAAATAAATAAATAAAAATAGAAAACAAGGAACATACATAACTAAGGCAAATACAATGTAAAAAGTGACCTTAGCTAATTTTTAAATATAAAAAAGTTCAACTCATTTGCTCCTGAAATTAAGAGTAGGCCATAAACCTGTATTTAATGTATCCTACCACCCAGGAATTTTTCACACTCATATCACAATCAGTAGGACAGACAGACTGACATTACACAAGTTCCAGAGAGAGGGTTGGGGTGGGACAGGAAACAGGGTTGGAAGCAGGGGGTGTGGCAGGGACACGAGGCTCTGCCCCATCCCAAGGAAGGCCTGTGTGGACCCCATTGCAAGAGTCTGTCAAAATATCCCTCTAGCTGGCACTGTATCCAACCACTCTCAGATATCTGCACGAACCTTTACTGACTTTCATGACACAGAAGAAAAGAGGGTCAAAGCCAAACTGTAGAAAACCAATCAATGGGCAAAAAGCAGCTAAACGTAGCTCGGGGTGAGGGAGTATCCCCTGCAACAGTACTCACTACTGGCTTAGACCGAAATACTGCCCCCCTCCCCCACCCTGGCCAGTGTTTTACTGTCCTAGAGATGCACAGCATGGAGGGCTCACAGGAGGATCACAAGATGCTCTCACAGGTCCTACTGCAAAAATTAGTGGCTCTGCCTCAGTCCTCAAGCACCCTCAGTTAAGACAAATATGCTCTCCAAAACGAGAGAAGTTGGGACACTTGAGAAATGTGTGGTCTTACCATTTCCACCTCAACAGTGACTAAGTTTCACTTCCTGTTCAAATGCTGGGTGAGCTCTGTACTCACACCCTTTCTCTTCCCAATCTACCTTTCGTGTTGAGGCGCTGCTGTGTTAAGCTGTCTGACACAGTCTGAACACTCCTCCTACCATGACCGAGGAAACCACCTTAGGTTTCTCTGGGCTGCTGCATGATTCACTAAGCTCAAAGCTCTGTATGCGGCCCACAGTCAACAGTACCACACGATTAACAAACGTAATTTATGTTAAGCTATTAAACAGACTGCTCAAAAAACACTCTCTATGGGGGTTCCCAAATTTATCAAGTGACCATTTTAAAAAAGACTGTTTAATGAGGCAGAAGCCTAGACTAATGGAAAGATAGATTTAACTTAGTTTTCAGAAAGTTGGGAAAATTTTTTATGTATAAAGAACTCTAACATAACTTTCCATATAAACAACTATGTTAACTTTCCATCCTTCCCCCAAGTACTTCTTATGCTGTAACACACTCCACCTGATGTTCTACTGGGCGCAACAGATTTACCATTTTGCTTTTAAAGCTGCTGTCTAAGGCACATGGCTCTGCTCTAAGTAGCATGTGTTGCAAATAGAAGCCAACTCGTTAAACATCTAGAAAAGGAGAAATCTGGAAGGATCAGTTTGCCTTACCTGTGACATTAGGATCACGCCTTGTTCTCCACTGTGGGACAAATACAGTGATGTTTCTGTTGCCAAGCTTCCAAAAATATTCAACTGCAATTGCAATTCCACGACAAGAAAAGAACTTTTTCAGACCGTGGCTAGAAAAAAACAAAACTTATTTCAGCTTAAACTAATGTTAAGTTTCACCATGAAAAAGTGAAAAGGTGAACTCCATATATAACAAAAACAATTGCAACAAAATTCCCTGTAATACGCTTTTATATTCTTTGGCACCAAACTGCATAGTTTATGACTTTACAAAGCCAAGACAGAAGACTTTGCATGAGAGTGATTCTTAATAGCTTTATGATTTTTCTTGTACTTTGTTCAATCTAATTGAACATGCTATTGGGATAGAAGGCAGTTTGAGCTTCATCGTAATACTTGTTTATTGCACTTTTTATTCTGTTTTCGCTCTTTTTAGAGAGCCCATTCCAAAAAGTCCTGCCTGGTCATTTGATCTCTAAGAGCATTTTACACATTTTATTAAGGAACTTGTTGCTGGGGGCACTGGAGTGGCTCAGTTGGTTAGGCATCTGCCTTCAGTTCAGGTCATGATCCTAAGGTTCTGGGATTGCTTCTCCCTCTCCTTCTCCCTCTGCTGCTCCCCCTGCTTATGCTCTCTCCCTCTCTCTCTAATAAATAAAATCTTAAAGGAAAAAAGAAACTTGCTGCTGAAGCAGAAGTAGACATGACTCTTCCATGGTCCTCACAACTTCCAAAGGCTACAGATGCCTCCAGCTCCAGGGCTCCATACCCTTTCTAGGGAACTGTGAAACCTACTCAGTTGACAGCTTCCCAGAGATAAGTTGAGGACACAATTCCAGTGGAACTAACTGGAGGCCATGGCAGATGCTTTTACTGAAGGAAACAGAAAGTGTGGGGAGCAGATGCAAACAAATAATGAACTGTATAGAATGTAAGTCAGGATACGATTTTCTGTAAAGGACCAGATAGGCCTTGCAGGCCATATGGTCTCTGCTGCTCCACTCAAGTCCGCCAACTGGAAATGAATGAGGGTGGCTGTGTTCTTTATTTACAAAAACAGGTGGTAGTCAGATTTGGCCCACAGTTTGCAACCCCTGGTATAGTGGATTAAAAACTGACCCCACCCAAAAATGTGGTAACAAATTTCAAAAGAAATGAGAAAAAATATTTAAACTGTATTTTCCCATATAAGTAAAAGTGGAGGCTTAAAAAAAAAAAAAGGGTTTTCAAAGTTTGACATTTTGTTGGTGGTGATCTATTTTCTAACCATGAATATTAGAAAGAAAGAAAAAAAAAAAAAAACCTCAAAACCCCAAACTGTGAAGCTACAGTTTATGAAATGAGCATAATCTATCTTCACTATTTCAATAGTTACTTAGGTTCTAGTGACAGGAAATCCTGCATCTTCAGTCCTGTCTTCTCTTCATATCTAGGGTCTCCATATCAAAATTACCCGGTGGAGAATTCCATCACTTAGAAGTCCTGCCACCTCAGGCACAACGTGTCCCAAGTAAACCCCAGGCTCTCCTAATTCCCATCCCTCCTCAAAACTCCAGTGAGACCCTGAAATACAGCCGCCAGGTCTTCTATCCTGCTCAGGGTCATCAGTGGCAGCATTCCTTTCAACAAACTCAGGGCACGGCTTCAAGGTCCCCTCCATACCTCTCTAGTAGGAGGGATCTAGCTATCACCATGCATTATCACACTCGTTTCTGGCCAGGTGGGCTTGCCATCGCCCTCTTCCTCGGCAGTGAGCTTTCTTTTTGCTGCTATCTTTGTAGACCTTCTCTTATACCTTTCTCCAATGCTCTAGGCACACAATTCCAGACCTTCTTCTATGGCGCCATTTCTAGAAACAGGTCCTCAATCATCTCTCCTCTTTCCTGTCTTGCTATCCTGTATCGTCTACCGGAATGACAGAATTTAGAAGAAGGAACGAAGTTAGATTCCTATTAGATAAAAAGAACGAAAGCCCTGAGAGGCTGAGCAACTTTCCCAGGCTGCACTGCCACAGGGTGGTTGTGCTGGGATTACTCAGGCTTCCTCACTCCTAAGCCAGTGCCCCTCCTACCACCCTACACTGGGACTGTCCCCAGCTAAATCTATATTCTCACGAAGGAGAAATGGTCTGGACATTCAATAAACATCTAACACTCAGAAGAACAGCTCAGAAACTTCTCCTTTAAGAGTCTAAGGCCCACTCTCTCTTCTCTGTGAGCCACAAATAAGAGACTGCACCGGCATCAGCTCTGCTCCAGAAAACATATGCAAGTAAACCTTCTTGATGAAGTAACTCAGCAGTGATCTGTTTATCTAAAAGCATTCAAAACATGGCAAGAATGTAGCAACAGGACATCTGCTACTGGAGAAAGGCTGGAGGTAGTTTTTGTAGGCGTCATCTTAAAAGAAAAAAAATCTCTAAAAACCATTCTAACTGCTTAACAGCAAGAACACACCCAGAGTTAATGTCAACCACAGCCTTAACATGAAAATAAAATAAAAAAAAAACAAAAAACAAACAAACAAACAAAAAAAACAGCTTACTGGTTCTTAGAAAAACCAAGGGATATGTATGTTATTTAAGTCCTGAAAAGAAAAACCCTTGAGAGAAATGCACTGAAAAGGCTTGTAAAGTTTGGCTTATTCATCAGCTACAAACGTGTACTAACTTTTTCCCTCCCTATAAAGCTTCTTTGGAGTGCAACAGTAGAAAGTAGGTGGAATCCAGCTCTGTCCCACGGGGTCCTAGGGGAAAAGGAAGGGAAATGCAAGTAGATGCAATCCCACTGCGCTATACCACGCACAAACTTACAGTGGAAGAAATGGCATTTCCGTAAACATTAGCTCTGTACTAATTTCCAGTGTTATCCTTAGTGATAAGATCAAATCACTGTGGGTACCTTGAAAAATCTTGAGAGCTGTTTTAGGAATAAAAACGGCAGTTCAAAATTCTGGTGGAAAACACACAGATTCAGCCAAAAAATGGAACTATACAAGAAAATCAAGTGCAGCCAAATTCGTGTTCTCCGAGTAATACAGAAGGTCCCTGTTGCTTCCTACTTCAACTCCCCAACATCCTGGCTAGGCAGAAATGTGCCTCCTCACCTCCCTGCAGTCAAGTCAGAGGAACCTATTGACAGGTAGACCCAGACCAATTGTCTATTTAGACTCTGAGACAAAGGGTTTACATACCGTAACTTCTCCTCTACTTCTGGGAAGGCCAAAGGTCTGGGGCTTCCAGCTCCGAATGCAGAATGAACAGATTAATAGGCCCGAGGAGCCAGGTGTGTTGGCTCTCAAGGGAGATTTAAACTCCTATTCCATGTAGTTGGAAACAAGTTACATCATCTGGTTGTTTTCCATATTATAGCAGGCATTAAACTGGAAGGAAGAATGTCCCACACAGAAAGGAGATGGGCAACAGACGCTTGATAAAAACTCACAGTAGTGATAGAACCAGACCATGCAATGTAGGGGAAATGGTGAAAAAACTCTTTTGGAGTTACCCCGGAAAAAAGTCATTTCCTTCTATAGTTTCCACTAATAAAAAAAGCCATGGGACCCTGGTACAGAAGACTAGCATGAAAAAAATGCTGAAAATACATAGTGCTGAAAAGTGAAGGGGCAAACCTCATCTACACAGAAAATTATCTATCCAGGTGAGTCAGGTGTCCTAATGCTAAAGTTTCAGAGTGACCGAGTCTGAGTGTTATCTAGCCACCACTGTGATGTCTAGCCGTGCGCCACAAACAATTTCCATTTACTCATCATTTGACTCATTCATGGTGACAAGGGGAAAAACCAAGTAGAGATACGCATAATTAGCAGCATGAAGTGGGTATTTTGGAATTTCTCACAGTGTATATGAATTGCAAACAGCATGCTGGATAGGCTAATATAATAAAGGACTGGCAGACACCCAGAGATGGGTAGGTCTGAGCTGCTCCAGAGTAGGATCAAACCAACAAATCCTATTGTTTAAGAGTTCAAATTTCCTTTTTAACTACTTCCGCACCAGTTGGGTCAAATAAGTGAGGTTTACTCAGCAATGCTTAAGCAACTCAAGACTTAAGTACTCTACATTGCCAAGGCCTGAAAATTCCAACCTCATTTTCGATGGGAGGAGGCAGGATATATGATGGCTCTGGGAGCCTGTGGGCCCACATCTCCTATCTGTGAAATCTTGGATAAGATTTTTAAGCCATTTTATGTTATAAAAGTATAGATAATTTTTATCTCACAAAATCAGTGTGAAGATTACATTTTAAAAAAGAAAAGTACCTAAAACATAATAAATGTTTCAGTTTTAAGATTTCAAATATTTGCTGAAAAATGTCTCAGTTAAACTTTAAATTGATCACTGGAATAGGAAGTTATAAAAGAGTGGGGAAAAGTCATCTTAAAAATCCTAATATTTAAGTCTTTAGGTCATTCATTCAACAGAATGTTACTGAGTGCCTACCATGTGCCATCACCATGGACCCTGGGTGTATTTCAGTTAACAGGACACATACAAATCACTTCTTCCATGGAATGTACAATCTAGAATCCACATTTACTATCAAAGTGATCTCAAACAAGGATCAATTTTTTCCCAAATTTAAAAAATGTTGAGTTGAAATTCACATAATATAATCATTTTGAAGTAACAATTCAGTGGCATTCAGTACATTCACAGTATTGTACAATCACCATTTAGATCTTGTTCTAAAACATGCCATCACTCCAAAATAAGACCCTGTCCTATTAAGCAGTTCCTCCCAGGATAAGAGTTAATTTTAGTTACTGATATTTTCAGATCAATCTTTATCAAATTAAGTATAAGTCTGTCTTTTTTGGATAATACATCCTTATAAATAAATGTTGCTTCAAACACAGACATCTGTGAATTCAAAGAAAACTGGAATCCTCCCCAAATAATCAGCTTTTAAAAGGAAAAGTAATGAAAGTCTGCTCATGGCTCCCCTTAGTGCACTAATTCAGTGGTTTTCAAAAGAAATGGCACTGCACCCATGGGTGTTAGGAATATCTGCGAGTGTTCTGGGGTGTCATACTATGGGCAAAGCAGGAGGGACTAGATATGCAAAAAATCCTGTCATGAAAGGCAGTACCACTCTAGCAGTACCACTCTAAATTCCAATAGTGACCCCTCTGAGAAATACATTAGTTACTACTCCCAAACGTTTTTAAATAGTGGCATCATCACCGCTCGTTCTATGTTAATTTACATTTCTTAGTCCTTCAACACCAATTTGGAAATCTTTCCAGTTATAAAAATTGAAAAAGGATTACTATTACTCACAATCATGACCTAAATTTTATTATCACCACTTGCTAAAGAAATCATAACAACGAGGAACTGGTGCTGGGCTTGGACTGTGGGTGACTGAAACTGCACTTTACATTTTTACTTAGATAATGCTATGCGGTTGTGGGCCATTTGCTGGGTTTCCCCGAAAAGAACTGCCAAAAAGCAAAGTGAAATGACAACAAACAGTATTATTTAGAAATGAAGACAAGTGTATTATGTATTTTTCCAGCCTGTCTTCAAACATTAACATGGGGAATGCTGGGATTTTTCTTTCTTTCTTTTCTTTCTTTTGACAGCAAAATACAGCATCAACAATTCAGTCAAAAAATAAAAAGAATCCTTATTTTAAAAAACAGACATTAAAGTATTTAGGGATAAAATGACATATCTGAGCTTTTCTTTAAAATAACTTGGGTGAAAGGCAGTAGTGGGGGTATAGGCTCAACAAGACTGGCCATGAGCTGAGAACTACTGAAGGTGGGGGATGGGCACATGGAAATCCCAAATTCAAAAAGAGATTCATCCTATTACCTTTTTATGTATTTGTTTGAAAACTCAGTAAAAAATTAACAAAACAAAAAAATATATAGCACTTATAGAATTCCTAGGAGAGAGGTCACATACACCTTCGCTAAAATTAAGAAGAGTTTCACCGTCTTCATCTGGCGTCCAGATGCCCCTTTTCTTAAATGACAGCCACTTAAAATGCCAGACCTTGCAGGCTTCTTCAAAATCAACGGAGTGACTGACTTTGAAAACTAGAGAGAGACTTTACCTACCAGTTGTTGAAATGGCATGATAAAGGTGCCCTTTAGGATAGGGCAAAGGCAATAGATTACAGCAAGTGAAACCCAGCAGACAGAAACCTACATTAGGTCAAACAGCTGGTCCACAGCAGGTCAGAGACTCCCACTTGATCCCCTCTCCTCTTCTTAGTCATTGTATTAAACCTCCCCTTAGAGAAGAAACCCAACCTTGTACCAGATACATAAAATACAGACTCTTCAGAGGGTTCTAAGACAGGTTAAATAGAAATGATCTTTTAACTCTTTTTGCTAAAAGCAAATATACAAGCTTTTCGTAGCAGCAGAGGACCATGAAGAAGCTCGAACTGATGAACTTCCTTAGGAAGGAAATTGCTATCACTCTATCAACAAAGAACAACAGAAGTACAGCACATCCATTATCACTGCACTCTTCCCTAGAACCCCAACATACTGTAGCGTAAAGAGACAGAAAAATCTTTTTGGCTTTAAGCTCCATCCTCATATTCAGAACCTAATGGAATTCATGGTATTAAGAACCTAATGATTAAAAAAAACCACAAAAAACAGCAGCTAATGCTGTAAAAATCTCTATACCGTGATCACTGACTAGGCAATGCAAAAGTGAAGACAAATTTTCTATTATCTCTCACCCTCAGAAATTTAGGTTCAGCAAGATGAAAAGCAAAGTTTACAACTCCAGAAGATGGAATAACACAACTTTCCAAACAGCTGCTTCATGTTTTCTTTTTCCAGGTAAGAAAATAGATCAGCTAAACAGATGCATACCATAAGTTCCTTCAACTGCATGTAATTCTGAGACACTGCTTAGGGTCCTATTTACAACTATAATATAACTTGCAAATAGTGGACTTACGTAATTGCGACATTGCTCCCATCTATAACAATGTGCTTCAAATCCGTTCTCCCTGGCTCATTTTTTAATTCCAGCTTGTAGGGTACTTTCAGAGTATCTCGGAACCTTTGAACGCCAGTGACGGAGGAATCAATATGATCAGACGGTCCTGCCAACCTTGTGTCAGTAACGGAAGGTAACAGCTGGGGCAGTGGCATTGGTGGAGAAAGGGGTGGACAATTTGGCTTAGACTGGGGAGAGCTACAACACCCTGATCGGTTTTCACAAGGAGACCTCATACTACTTGGAAGTAAGGGCTCTGCTTGCTGTTGCACACCATTTTCAGGAAAAACTGGAATTCTGGGCTGGTGACTTGAAGCTCCTCTTGAAACAAAACTGACAACTTCTTTGGGACTTGAAGGAATAACAGATGGTGAAAGGCCATCAGTTTCAAGGTCCATGTTACAAACGTAATTCTGGTTTGAACTCCAGATTTCTTGTTTCTGTTCTATTGGCACTGTTCTGAAAGTATTAATTTTGCAATTTGAGGTACATGGTTTTGATTCTTTGAATGGTAACTGAGAAAATTTTTCCACCATATTTTGCTGTGTGTGAGTTTGTGTTTTCTTTGGAGTGGAATCCGTTGTAAGCTCATTTACGCTGCTACAAACACCTTTGTTTTTGGTTCTGTTAGTCTCTGGATACACAGTACCAGGTGAAAATTCTCTGTCTTCTTGGAATCTTTTATTTTCTTTTTCAATTTCTTCTAAGAGCAATAATGGTTCAGTAGACGGCCCATACTCCCTAATGACCTTTTCAACAATTTCTTGGGAATAGCCCATGGTTTTAAAAAAGTTTACGAGGATGTTGTATTCCATTTCCTCAGTAGTGTCCTTTACATCGGGACTTAAATTTTCAGGATCAACAGAAGAATCGGATAAGTCAATGATTACATTTCCAGCTAATGTCTTACCATCATCGAGAAGCTCCCCCTCTTGAACATTTTCCAAAGAAAACTGTTTCTTGGTATGCCTTTCTTCAGAATCAGAAAATCTCCTTTTGTGACAAATTCTGTCCTTGGATAATGTCTCTTCGTCTGGGCTTAGACCATTTATTGGAACAAAAAGTACATCTTGTGAACTAGAAAAGACCGTGTCCATTTGTTTTGTAAGCTCAGAAACAGGAGTGCCAGCTTTATTTCTTGCATCTTCCTGCAAAACAATTTCATCTCTGGAAATATTCAGCCCTGTGGCAGCATTCTGTGGAAACTCTGTTTGTTTAGAATCTCCAATTTCAATAACATCATCATCTCCCGTTTCAAAGAAATTCTCCTCACCTTGTGTGAGTGTCAAAAGCTCTTTTTTCAAGGAAGTGGGCAAAATCAACAAGTCCATTGTATAGTTGTCAGCCCGAGCTTCAACAAATTGTTTAAATTCCCTTTTCACCTCGGATTCTTTCTGACTGTTGGGTAGGTTCTCATTATTCTCAAAGAGCTTTACAAACTGCTGAATGTGACTCCTAGCCATGACTACAGCTTCGGCACTTCCTCTGATGCCAAGAAGACCAATGTCCAGAATGCAGAGATCGGCACAGGTGTCCTGAATCAAGCTTTTCAGAAACAGGCTTTGGGCCCCAACAAAAATGCAGTGCATGGCCTTCGGGTAACATTCTCTTTCTTCTAGTTCAGGTTCACAGATTCCTTTAATATATTCCTGTAAAGAGGAGTTAAGAAGTAAGATCAATTTTCAAAAGCTCTTTATAGCACCTATTATGTTACACATAATGACAAATGTCAAGATGTACAAAAATCAAAAGCATGCTAATAATTTGGGGGAAAAATGTCACATTTTAAATAAAAGATTCAAGATAACAGATGTAAGTTGCTTAATCGTTTCTGTTGGACTTGAAAATTTTGCTAAAAAAGCCCGTGTTAACATTTTCAATAATGTATCCTGCAATATCATCTTTGGGGTATGCCCAACTGCACAGTGGGTAAGGACAAGACTGGATTTATTTACATCTATAAAGAACAAACATTTTGCTTGCCACCAGATATTTATTGATACAATGACATAATTAAGAGATAAGATAATCAAGTCAAACAGTTTACTCCAGAATAAACCTTGACTTTTGCTTTGCTACTATTGCCCTTAGTTTCCAGATAAAACAGAGATTCTGAAAGCTTTAAAAAATAAAATAAAATAAATTCCCTAGCTGGCTAGAACAATGCATAGTCTATATAATTTTATGTCTTTTTTTTTTTAATAGAAAGGGCAGACTGTTTAAATGTAGATCTAAATAGAAAGAACCAGAGAGTGCTGGACAGTACTGCCCCCTCTCAGATAGAAAACCGAGTTTCTAGTAAATCTGGTATTAAATAAGGCCTCAGTGAGGTAAGAAAGGGAACAGGGTTCTCCAGCCAATTAGGTTGCTCCCAGAGGCCAAAGTGTGAATGATGTGAACAATGAACACGCATGCACACACTCAGGCATGGTAGGATACACTTAGTAATGTGGGTGCTGGAGTCTGTTCCTGGGCTCAAACCCCAGCTCTGGGGGTCTGGAGGCCTTGGTACAGTTCCACAGCCCCTCTAACCTCATGTCCCCACGTATAGGAGTGAGAAGAAGATGGTGCAATCCCAGGTGTTTTGAGGAAATTCGACGAGATAGTAAAATTCTGATGACAGTGTCTTGTATCTAGTAAGTGCTTCCTAAATAATAACACTCCTAAATTATTAGTGCAAATTTTCTGGAAGGACATTTATAAGAAATGAGCCTGGAAACACATGACCCATACTTGACACGAAAATCAGAACGGCGCTCCCCCAAATGTTGCTACTGCAGAGCTCCGGTGAGGTTCGGCAGCCCTGCCCCTGCTGCCTGCTTGTTGTCACAGGGGTCACACAGCTTCAGGGAGAATTCATATACCAATGGGTACGTATCCCTGTGAGTAGAAACAGGAGGAAAATGTCGGAGAGGAAACATCTGATCTAAGCTTTATGTATTTATGTATTTAAGTATTATGTTCAATCACAAGATCCTCTTAGGTCCTCTGGATAAACCTGGCATGTAGGTGGGCTTGGTGGTGAAGATGGGAGATGACTGGTGCAGGACAGAGGTGTGCTGGTTGTTTATTAGAGCGGTCTGCTAATTTTGCGACACGGTAACTGCGTTAAACACAAAGTATAGTAACCAAACATCTTTTTTTCCTGAATGTGTGAGCAGAGTGCTAAATACTGATGTCAGCCTCCCTGAACACATCCAAATGGACATTTTGCTACCACTTGTTTGAAACTATGCTGCATTGTGTTTTTAAGTTATTTCTCTTTAAAAACATTTTTATTTTTAAATAATCATGGGTTTCCAGGAGGCTGCAAAGACAGGACATAAAGGTTCTGTGTACTCTTCACCCAGTTCTTTCTAATCACTACTTGTATCTTACCTAATTACAGCACAGTATCAAAACCTGGTGTACACAGTTCTGTGCCATTTTATCACATTCAAGCAAATACCACTTCAATCAGCATAATGACTCCATCACCACAAAGATTACCTTCATGCCACCCATTAGTCCTATTTACCCCTACTTCTACCCGCACCATCCCTACCCCCAACAACTGCTCATCTGTTTTTGTCTCTATCATATTGTGACTTCAAGAATGTTACATAAATAGAATTATACAGTTTCTGCCTTTTGAGACTGGCCTTTTTCTTAAAATTTTACATATTTATTTGATAGAGAGTGAAAGAAAGCACAAGCTGGGAGAGCAGAGCAGCAGAAGGAAAAGAAGCAGGTTCCCCATTGAGCAGGTAGCTGGATGCGGGACTCAATCCCAAGACCTTAGGATCATGACCTGAGCCAAAGGCAGACGCTTAACTGACTGAGCCGCCCAGGCCCCTCCAGATTGGCCTTTTTCACTCAACATGATGCTCTTGAAACCCACCCAAGCTGTTACATGTATCAAGCTCTTTCCTTTTTATCGCTGAGTCCTATTCCATGATACAGATGAACTACAGGTTTTTAACCACTATCCACTGAGTGGCATTTTGGTTGTTCCTGTTTGGAGCCATTACAAATGAAGCCACTATGAACAATTTTCATGAACAGGTTTTCATGTGAATTTAACTTTTCATTTCTCTAGGATAAATGCTGCGCCATATGGTAGGTGCATGGTTAGATTTCAAGGAACTGCCAAACTGTGCTCCAGAGTAACTGTAACATTTTCCATTCCCACAACAATGTATGAGATCAAGAGATCCAGTTTTTCCTCATCCTCACCAGCAGTTGATAGTGCTACTATTTTTTATTTTAGCTGTTCTATTAAGAGTATAGTGTATCTCATCATGGTCTTAGTTTGTATTTCCCTAATGGCAAGTGATACTGAGTATCTTTGCATGTGTTATTTGCCATCTATATCCCTCCTTTGCAAACTGTCCGCTCAATTTTTTGGTCCATTTTTTAACTGGAATATTTGGGTTTTGGGAGTTGTTGATATGTTCTAGAAAGATAGGAGTCCTTTCTCAGATGCGCAGCTTACAAATATTTTGTTCTCTAGTTTGCTTTTTCATCCTCTTAACAGGATCTTTTGTGACAGGAGACAGTTTTTAATTTTAGGGAAGTTTAGTTCATTGGCTTTCTCTTCACCAAGCCCCAGATCCCAGATAGTTCTCCTGTGTTAATCTTCCAAAAGTCTTACATTTAAATTTACAACCCATTTTGAGTTGGCTTTTGTATAAGATATGAGATTTAGGATGAGGTTCATGTTTTTGCTTATGGATATCTAATTGCTCCAGCACCATTTCTGGAAAAGAATATCCTTTCTCTAAGTACTTTTGCAGGTGTCAAAAATCAGTTGGTCATACTTTTGTGGGGCTATTTCTGGGTTCCCTATTCTGTTCCACTGGCTTAGGTATCTATTCATCAATGCAAAAGAACAGAATCTTTTTTTTTTTTTTTTAAAGATTTTATTTATTCATTTGACACACAGAGAGAGAGCACAAGCAGGGGGAGCAACAGAGGGAGAGGGAGAAGCAGGCCCCCCCATCGCCGAGCAGGAAGCCCAACGTGGGACTTGATCCCAAGACCCCAGTACCATGACCTGAGCCAACGGCAGAGGCCCAACCTTCTGAGCCACCCAGGTGCCCCAATGCAACACAATCTTGATTACTGTAATTACAGAATGTCTTGAAATTGGATAGTAATAGTAATTGCTATTTTATTCATTATAAAATTGTTCTTAGCTATTCTAGTTCCTTTGCCTTTCCATATAAATTTTAGAATAATCTTGTTTAGCTATCATTTAGCAGTTTTGTTAAACTAGCAGACTGACTTGAGGATAACAGACAGTTGCTGAGTCTCCTGCTGTAAGAATAAAGTCTATTTCTCTAGATCTTTGCTTTCTTTCATCAGTGTTTTATGGTTTTGAGCATACAAGCCCTGTACACCCAAATACTTGATTTTCGGAGTGATGGAACATGGCACTCTATTTTGATTTCTGTGTTCATTGCTAATAAATAGAAGTAGATTTTGATCATGTATCCTGTGACCTTGCTAAACCTATTTCTAGTTCTAGGATTTTTTTCTTATAGACTCCTTGGGATTTTCTTTCTTTCTTTCTCTTTTTTTTTTTTTTTTTTTTTTTTTTTTAAGATTTTACTTATTTATTTGAGAAAGAAAGAGTGAGCACACACAAGTCGGGGGCGACCCTGAGATTACAACCCAAGCTGAAAGAAGACACTCAACTAAGCCACCCAAGCACCCCTATGATGTTAGATTTTTATATATTTTTAAAAAAATCATGTTGAGGAGGTCATCCTGTATTCCTACTTATCTAGGAACAGGAATATGAATAGGTATTGAAACTTGTTAAATGCTTTATTTACTGTATCAAATGTTCTCAAGTGACTTCACTTCTTTAGCCTGTTCATATGGTAGGTTGCACTGACTGATTTTTTGAATACTGAACCAGCCTTGTATCCCTGGAATAACTGCCACTTGGTCCTGATATATAAATACATTGATGAATACTACCTGCTAATATTTTGTTAAGAATTTTTACATTTTCTGCAACTATATTCATGAGGAACTTTAGTCTGTAGTTTCCATTTGTACCATCTTTGTCGGGTTTTAGCATCAGGATAATAAGTGAGTGAAGAAGGTATTCTCTCCTCTTGTATTTTCTAGAAAAGATTGTGTAGTATTGACATTAATTCTTTCCAAAACATTTTGTAGACTTCTCCCATGAAAAAATCTAGGCCTGGAGATTTCCTTTATAAGAATTATCAAATTATTAATTCAACTTCCTCAATAGCTATAAGTCTATTCAAATGATCTATCTCATCTTGGGTAAGTTATGGTAGTTTGTACTTTTTGAGGAATTGGCCCATTTTTACTAAGCTGTCAACTTTATGCCTGCAGAGTTGTTTGCAGTGTTTCCTTTATCTTTTTGATGTCTGCAGGGTCTACTCTACAGTTGATACCCTGTTTCATTCCTGACATTAGTAATTTCTGTCTGCTTTCTTAAGGGTTGCTAAGAGGTCAATTTTTTTTTTCCAAAGAACAAGCTTATTATTTCATTGATTTTTCTCTATTGTTTCAGTTTTCAAATTCATTGACTTCTGCTACTCCCTCCTGTTGCTTGCTTTGCACTTATTTTGCTCTTTTTATTTTTTCTCATTCCTGTAAGTGGGAGCTTCAGTGACTGATTTGAGAC